AAAAAAAAAAAAAAAAAAGCTTCTGTGTGATTTTGCCAGAACTTATACAAGTCCAGATGTAGCCCTTGCATGGTGCCCAGTGAAATCTAGTATTGGTCTGTCGGTCCATCGCTCTGTCTGCAAGTCCCCCCGAGAATCCCTTCTGCAGTGGATTCGTGACTGCCCACCCTAAATGATCAACTCTACTTTTCTCGAGCTCAAGAATGTTTACAATGTACTTTTTTGCCTTAGCCTTAGTAACCTTAGTATGAACGCTTTGCCCATGGAGCACCTCCGGGCTGGTACCACCGAGCCACTCCACCTGCCAGTTCCAACACGAAGTGACATGACGTAAGCAACATTTCCTGTTGATTTACTTAACTGCAGGCTGGGTGTTTGTTAGCTCAAGGGCTCCAACTGTTAACATCACGTCAAGTACTCAATATGTGTGCCGTCAGTGTTGGCATTAGCCTGTTGCCAACCGTATGTGATACCTCTGGCTAGCACGCGAACTGAAGCCACGCTTGGCCGAGGCTGGGCTGCCTTTGTTGGCTTGGGGCCATCACAAATCTTCACGGCAGCCGTCATCCTGAGGGTGGCGAACAGAAGCGACAGTTCCATTACAGTTCTCCCGTTCTCCCCTCTTGATGACAACGCATCATGTGGACATGTAGCTAGAAGTGATGTTGACAGAACGCAAATCAAAGAAACTCAGCATGCCTGCAAGAAGGCGCGTGCTACATGCACACGATTGGCCAGAATACTGAGTCCACCTGTCGTTCTCGTTCCTCCAAGCTCTTCGCACTCCGAAGACTCGCACACGTTCCCCTTCAATCGTCCCTGCATCTGTCTTGCTTTCACTATCCTATCTCGCTCTTTCTTTCTTTCGTGTGGACTATCTCGCTCTCTCTCTCTCTCTCTGTCTGCTCTCTCGCTCGCTTGCTATCTAGCCTCACAGCGCCGCCATCTAGCTGTCGACTTACCAAGATTGATGCTACCAGCTCTCGGGTCTGCTAGCTATCTCTAACCATGGGGAAAAAACCGCGTGGGAGAAAAAAACCTGCCCAGTAGCCTCCACCGACCCCACCGCGGGTCTCTAACACCAAACCGCCGGAACAGAGACACGAACCCACGCTACGAGTTCTAATGCAATACCACTCTTTCACATTGAGGCCTGTGCTGAAAAACGCAAAACTGAAATGAGCAAGGGTCTTGCTTTGTCTTGGGTCAACGATGTGCATCTTCTTATCCTCGCACAAGCCATGAAAGTTCCAAGAAAGTGCAGGCAGGCAATGGCGTGAGACCGTGAGACCCATTGTAGATTTCAGTTCAAGGCCAGGCTACAAGACCCCGCTCCTTGCAGGTCAAGGCCAACAAAGAGCCTGTGTAGTTCCACTTGATGTGCATGACCTGCTCCGGCACTGGGATGTTGAACGAAGCCTCCTGCTCTGTCAGATTCCAGACCTGGTGCACAACAGAAACGTTGAAAACACCGCTGCTGGGCATGCAGATGATGCCGCAACGCAGGTAAAACTGCGACAAGCCAACTCAACAAGAGTCTGGCAACAAATGCAAATAGCAAAATCCCTCACAGTGACGATCTATGGCCGTAGGAAAATCCCTGCACAGCAGCTTAAGACCGCATGAGGAAAAGGAAATCCCTACAATCCTTGGCATTCAGCCCCTGGCACCTTGGGGAAAACGTTTGGAGGACGTTCATCCTCATTCGTACACCAATTTGGCAGCACTGCGCCTTGCAGGTGAGGTCAAAGGCCGTGGACGCCACGATGTTCGAAGCGCAAGGGTTGAAGGTGCTAAACGATACCTGCAAAAGCATTTAATCAGCAAAGTAGGGGCGGTGGTAGGGGGTAGCAGCGACCACATGAACATAACGTGAATACTGCTACTGTACAATGCAAACTGCAAACCCTGAAGCCAGAGCTCCACAACTCAATGCACCCCGCACCGTGTCAGAAAAATTGGCTACATCATCACCCAACATGCCAGCTCAGGCAGTTGCCTTCTTGCCATGGCCTTCTAGGGTCAGGAGTGGATCCTGCACAGCTGCTGTGATCACAGCAAGGATCAACATAGGCTATCGCATGGGTACAAGTATCCTTCAAGTGCTGAGTCAGCCCGTCGCTCGGGATCTGCCACAGCTTCAATGTCAAGTCTTCGCTGGCACTCAGCAAGAGGTGGTCATCAAATGGGCTAAACTCGAAGTCCATGATGCCTCCAGACACTCTCAAGTCTTTCTTCAGCTCATGTCGGCAACTGCCATAGACGCGAAAACACCGAAAACATAGCTAGAATGAATCAACAAGCTCGGCCCTGCCTCCCGTGTGACCTGCCACTAAGGGCAGATCTCGTGGCAGTCGCCCAAACTTGGTTGAAGGGATCACCTCAGATACGTTTGCACTGGGCCCGTGAGCTTCGAGGTGCACCACGCACAAAAATCTCTGGCAAAGCTAGCACGTTGATCAGCTTTACCTGCTTCATATTGCCTTCCAGACCATCTTGTCTGTTGCTTGGGTGCATAAAAGGGAACTTCAAAATTGAAATTCTAAATCTCTGCAGCAAGAGTATAATACGAAAGCTGCCCAGGGAGGGTCTTCAGAAGCGTTCGTATTTTTTGCGGCCCAGCTGCTGCCAACGTGCCTCCGCCGCCAGACTCCCAAGGAAAGCAGATAAATTTGGCATTTCCTCCGCGCAGATTTCGTCTCCGAGGCTTTGGATAATGGCATGCAAAAAAACCAGGGTACCTCGAATCCCTGTGGTCTCCAGTGGCTTCGAGGACAGTCGGAGGTCTTGGAAGTTCTCCTTTGTTGCCTGAGATCCGCGGCAAACAAAGCAAATACATCGCGCACAACACGGCTGCGCTGAGTTGGCGCAAACATGAAAACCTTCGCATTGCTGTTAAGTGACATTCCCAAAGACGTGTCTAAACTTTGAATCGCGCACGACCTTCATCGTGGCTCTTCTTGGCCGTTAAAGCTGCCCCAGCGGCGGCTCAGCTTGAGCCACGAAACCACACAGGCAGCGGTCGTACTCCGTCAACAAAATTACTGGGGACGTGAAACATCAAGGAACCACATGCCGCCTGGGCAGCGCAGGCTTTTTCTCACGACCATTTCATTCCAGTCTGCATTTTGCGCGGTTGTCGCGCTGCGAACAAGGCACTTTTCCTGGCAGCTGCCATCCGAAAACATACATGAGCAACCTTTCCTTCAAAGAATCGTGTGAAACCTTTCATCCCGACGATCAGCGGACCTAGGCGCAGGTTGAAACTGAGTTTTGCTTTTGTTAACTTTCGATGACACTTAATTTGTGGCAGCGGAAAACTTCCTCCACACAGAACCAGAGCTTCCGGAGCGATGCAGTGATAAGCCAGCAACTCCCCAGTCATGCTAAATGCCTGGGCTTAAAACCGCACAACTGGAGCCGATCAGTCTTCCTCACACCTGGCAAGTGTTGTCATCCTGACAAATTGACAGTCCTTGTGGCCGGGGTGTAAATCATTATGAGCATCGCGACATTTGCTAGACACAATAGGGGGCAGCAGCGACAACTGAGGAAGATGCCGGACCAACATCTGCAGTGGTTCGCTTACCTCCACAGCTTCAAACTCCCCCCGGACATGTTGGCGGCCCCACCATTATAGCAGGAAACCCTACACGACTGCTGCCGAAGCAGCGAGCAATCGCAGATTCCGTGGTCTGCAGCAGCCACTCCAAGTCATTTTGTCGCTTCTTGAGTGCTGCCTGCGACAAAGAACTAGCTTCACATCCAGAACTTGCGAATTATTACGCCAAAAGGACTTAAGACATCATTGGCAGCCTCTAGGCCATCAAAACCTGCGGCACTTTCTGCAGCAACACGGTCAGAACCCATGAGCTGCAAATACAGGTCGTTCAATTTCCTTAGGTTGCAATTCGCAGTGGCAGCCCGTGTGGCGGCAAGACTATGTTGTGAGCGCTGTGGCAACAAGGAAGGTTCCACTTTTCAAATCCGGAAAACGATGCGATACTGTGGAACACTGCCCGTCTGCAACACACCTCGTACGTTGCGCTGCTATGCTTGCGCAAGAAATGGCGTAGCTAGTACACCTGAAGTCCAAAAATATGCGGAAAATCTGGCTGAACTGCTGCTGAAGGAGCTTCTCTTGCGCACGGGAACTGCTTTGGAGATGCCGGGCTCGCAGTGACAAGTTACTCTGATACCTCTTTTGGGCATCCAGGCTGCATCCCTCCATTGCGGTGTCGTGCTTTCCCGCATTCATGACGAAGGATTTTTGCAGCAATGGTGATGCAGCTCCCATCCTTGAACTGCAGGGGTCCATGGACATCAGTTGTTTACATGGCACGATGCAACTGCAGACAAAAGTCGAAAACAGAAAGGCCACAGCACATGAATGTGCCCACATCCTGTCGCAACGGCAATTGTGAAGACCCATTCACGAGACAGCCACAAAACACCATGATGCAATCAGAGTCCTGGACTCGCACGCGCCCGCGGGCCCTCCCCCAACACAGAAGTTCGATCCCAGGCTGCAGAACAAACAGCTGATGCATGCGGCATCATCAGACAACTCAAATAGCCCGGAAGCCATGACCAAATCGCTCCGTGCTGCGTGCTCCGTGCTCCGTGCTCAGAGCAATCAATCTCCGGCGAAGTTGTATATTGTTTTGCAACCTACGCCTCATCTATCTTTTCAACCAGCCATGCCCCCAAACAAAAACGTCACTCGATGGTTCAACCACCACAAAGCAAGCAGCTTCTTGGCGAGCGGTGCATCAGCTGGGGAGGCCGGGCGCGTTTAATTTTTTGCTATGCAGGCCGGGCGCGTATCTTCTTTTGGCTGTGGAGGCCGGGCGCCTTGATTTTCTTGTTATGGAAGCCAGGCGTGTTTATTTTTGTTGCTGCGAAAGCCGGGCTCGTTGCGAACAACGCTCCACGCTAGAGCGCAATTCTAGCTGAAATTGTGAGGAAGCTCCACACCCGACGCCAATTTGTGCAAAAATACTACGATGCTCCACGAGAGAGCGCATTTTTGAACGAAAATACAAGGACGCTCCATGCCGCAGCGCGATTCTGCGCGAAACTCTGAGGACGCTTCACACCAAAGCGCGATTCTGCGCGAAAATTCAAAGACGCTCCAGGCGAGCACGCAATTCTGAGTGAAAATTCGCGGACGCTTCACGCCAGAGCGCGCTTCTGCCTGAAAATCTGAGGACGTCCCACAAGGCAGCTGTTTTCTTTTTTTTTTCTGCGGAGGCCGGGCGCGTTGCGAGGAACGCTCCACGCGAGAGCGCAGTTCTCGCTGAATTGTGAAGACGCTCCACACCAGAACACGATTTTCTGCGAACATACAACGACGCTGCGAGAGCACATTGTTGAACAAAAATGCGCGGCTGCGAGCGAGGAGCCTGAAAAATTGTGCCGCTTCAGGGCGAGGACGCTTTACACCAAAGCGCGATTCGGCGCGCAAATACAAGGACGCTCCACGCGACAGCGCAATTTTGAATGAAAATGCGTTGACACTTGACGCAAGGGCGCAACTCTGCCTGAAAATTTGAAGACGTCCCACGCCACAGCCCGATTTGCGCGGAAATGCCCGACCAGGGCCGTGTTTTTTTTTTTTGTTTTTCTTTTTCTTTTTTGCGGAGGCCGGGCGCGTGTATGTTTTGGTTATGGAGCCCGGCGTGTTTATTTTTTGCTGCGAAGGCCGGGCGCGTTGCGAGGAACGCTCCACGCAAGAGCGCAATTCTAGCTGAAATTGTGAGGACGCTCCACGTCAGAACGCCAATATGTGCGAAAATACTACGATGCTTCGCGCGAGAGCGCATTTTTGCTGCAACGCGATTTTGCGCGAGACTATGAGGACGCTTCACACCAAAACACGATTCTGCGCGAAAATTCAAAGACGCTCCAGGCGAGCACGCAATTCTGAGTGAAAATTCGCGGACGCTTCACGCCAGAGCGCGCTTCTGCCTGAAAATCTGAGGACGTCCCACGCCACAGCCCGATTTGCGCGGAAATGCCTGGAAAGGGGCCCTCATTTTTTTTGGGGTTTTTTTTTTGCGAGGGCCGGCCGCGTTCAATTTTGATGCTATGGAGGCCGGACGTATTTTATTTTTGGCTGCGGAGTCCGGACGCGTTGCTCCATGCGAAAGCGCAATTCTAGCTGAAATTGTGAAGATGCTCCGCACCAGAACGCGATTCTGCGCGAAAATGCAAGGACGCTCCACGCGACAGCCCGATTCTGAATGAAAAATGGTGGACGCTTCACGAGCGCAATTCTTCCTGATGATTTGAAGACGTATGGAGGCCGGGCGCGTGTTTTTTTTTGCTGCGAAAGCCGGGCACGTTGCGAGGAACGTTCCACGCGAGAGCGCAATTCTAGCTGAAATTGTGAGGACGCTCCGCACCAGAACGCGATTTTGTGCGAAAATGCTACGATTCTCCACGCGAGCGCATTTCTGAACGTGAATACAAGGACACTCCATGCCGCAGCGCGACTCTGTGTGAAAATATGAGGGCGGTCCATGCGCGAAAGGTGGTAATTTGATTATTTCAGCACGACATCGTGTGTTGGGGACTTGGAACGTTGAGGGATTGACCGACTCAAAAGTCGTTGAGCTCCAAAGTTATAAGGGGAACCTTAGCATCGGCATCCAATGTTTGCAGAAGAAGCAAATCGCGTGTGAATGCGAGCATTGAAATTACCCTGCATGCAAAGGCCCATGTCGGGATCGTCTCAGCAGCCACCGGCTCAGGTCATGGTAAAATTCCATCCGCTCCTGCAACGGTTTGCCAGTGTGTGGTGCATAAATGCTGCATCTGCATACAGTCATTTTACCGCCAAGAACCCGAACCTTCAGTGAAGCCATGCGAGCTGATTCTTGACAAAAATTGACGATGCTCCTCAAAAATCCAACCCCCGCTGTCTCACAAGATTCCCCGTCAGACATGCCTGAAAGAACAAGGAAGAACCGGAATCCGTCGTCTCATGAACAGATTCAGCTCTGTGAGTCTTAACCCTGGCAGTGCATTTGTCGTGGAAACATTTCGGACAAATTGATCTGGTTTCGGTATTGCATGATTGGTTGGAAGCTCTGACGCAATTTGTTCATGCATGGAACCTGTACTGGCATCGCACCATTTCTTGGTACTTGCGAAATTTTGCATTCAAGTTCCCAAACTTGGAAAACAGTACCGTAAGACTGTTTTACAGCACACTGCCCTGCATCAAGCCGAATATCAAAACAATTTTGCAGCGTTGTTCGAGACTGAGATGGAGGAGGTTTCTGTGAAACATTGCCTGGAACTTCGCGTGGCCACATAACGAATGTTTATTTTTTCCAAATGCTGCTCAGGCATGCCTGCCGAGCCTTCCCTTCCTTGGATTCGTCATCGGGCACTTTGTTTGATTGAAGCAAAACAGGTTTTTTCTTTGTTGACAGGGTCAAGGCTTCGGTTGCGTCTCACCGCTCATCATGGTTCAAAGAACGTCTGCGCGCAGGTGATTGGCATGAGATCCGTAAGCGCAGAAAAAGCACTCGGATGTACCATGGTCGTTTGACAAGCATGGGTGGGAATGTGGTAGATAGCGATCAGCGTGCGGAAACTTTCGCGCAGTATCTGGAGCGGGGTACCGTGGGCTGTTCGTCCGGCCACTACAGTGCAATTTTCGCATGATTTGGGTCCGCCATTGCCGGTTTCCACGCATGTTTTTCGGAAGACGAGGTTCTTCAAGCTGTTCGTGTTACTTCGCTTCAAGGGGTGGGGAGGTTTAATTAACTGGCTGATGTTTGAAGACATGTTGGGAGCTTTCGTGGCTCTGATGTTTTTTGCTTTAAAGGGTGGGAGGGGGGTGGACGGCTGATGTACGAGTAGGTGTTAAGAACTCATGATTGAGGAGGTGTTCCGGTGGCCTCCCAAGCTAGTTCACTTTAAGGCGTTTGGGGGTTTCGATGGGTGATAATTGAAGATGTGTTGGGAGCCTCCATGGCATTGCAAATGGTCCCTTGAGGGGTGGGGGGTGTGTAGATGGCTGATGTATGAATGAAGTGTGAGGACCTTGCATGTTATCTTGGCAGGGGGGTAGACAATTTCCTGGCCCGTCCGGGCCCAAAGTCCGAGCCGTGCGGGGAGTCCAGGCTAGAAGTGCCAAAATGAAGGTACAGCAAGTCTAGGGGTCTCAACAAAAAAGGTTGGTGGGAGGTTTGTTTCACGGCCCCGTTTTTTTCTGCCTTACGGGGATGGGGGGGTGTAAATGGCTGATGTGTAAGGGAATGTTAGGAATTTTCATATTATCGCTGGGTTCGGGGCGTTCTTGGCTCCGCAGATGTTCGGTATGTAGGGCCGAGAACGCCCGGATTCCTAACCCAGACTCCTGGTCTGGATTCCTGTGCTTGCCCTACCACCCCCAGCCCGGACTCCTGTTCCGGACTGTTAGCCCAGATTCCCAAGCATCAATATGAAAGCTCCTGACAATTCCTCATACATCAGCCATGTACACCCCCCAGCCCGCTTGAAGCTGCGGGGCCATGAAAGCTCCCAACATTTTTTTTTCTGCGCCTTTTCCGGCCAATTTGCGGTCCCAATGCGAGGCATGACAGGAAACCGAGCTCCAAGGCGACCGGCACGGTGTGAAGGTCCAAGGCAGGAACAATCCACGGTTGGAAAAAATCCACTGCTCACCGCAAAGCCCGCAGGGGCAAGGTCTCGGCGAGGACATCGCTGAGATCGAGTGCTGCCCGTCCACGTTGGCAGCATGGCCCAACTGGAGGGACAACACGCTGGCTGCCACAGCGCGGGCTGCCGCAAACCAGAGCAAGGCAGACCAGCGGGAGATGCAGACGTGGCACCAGAGCGCAACACAGGCGGGGCCTGACGGGCACGGCTGCGAGCGAGCATCCGCACGAATTGGGCTGCCTTTGACCTCCACTGGCCACCGAGCTCGATGCCACGAGTGACAAAGCGACAACGCTCTGATGGAAGCAGCTCAGGGTAGCTCCGCTCCTTCGCCCGACAGGCTATGCGCAAGGCTGCTCCGGTTGTGCTGCGCTGCTGGCGGCGAAGCTGGCCAGCCGAGTCCAACGCAGAGACCAACATCGTGTCAACAGCGAGCTGATGGGGCTTTCAAAGGGAGGCCATTCGCAATGACCTTGATTCTTTGATGCGACGATCATCTTCGTGCTCGACAAGTATTCAAGTCGCGGAGGGGGACGTTGGTGCTGACTGTCGTTCCTGCTTCAGCACACACGGGCGGCTGCT